CACTGCTTTCATCCTAGGAACTATCCACTTCTGAGAGAGGGTCTCCAGCCCCTCCACAGCTTCATTGATCTGTCCAAATGAGGAGCAGGCAGAGCTGAAGAGGAATGTGCGTGAACCACATGTCCCCTCCTCTTCACACAATAGCATACACACTCAGAAGATACATCAGCTCACATACACCCCACACTCAAGCATGGAAACCAACACACATTCCCACAGATCCTTCAGTTATACACACAGACACATTAGTGACTAGACATCTCTGCAGGGGCTGTGATCTTTTGCGTGCACTGATCTCCTCAAGATTGTACACGAATCAGGCCCCCAGAGCTCACTGAAACCCACCCCCCACCCCCGGATGCTCTATTATCTGTTATTGCCAAAGACTCCGCCAGGCACATCTCCATCCTCTCTAGAATGCCATCCACCAGAGGGGAGTGGGGACTGGGGCCATGAAGACTATAATCATTTCATGAAGGGACCATCTTTATGGCACATCCCCTGGACCAGGACCCCCTTCTCCTCTCACACTCCACCCATTAAAAAATTGGATCTTTCCCTTTCCTAGTCAAGTCACTTTCTCACTGGATGGTGGCCCTTGGCTGACACCTGGCAGATGAGGAACAGTTTGTGGATGAAGCCCCCTCGTGGGCAAATAGGGGAGAAGAGAGGTTGTGCTTTAAGCCTTTGCCCATTTGGGTCTGTTTTTCTATTAAGCACATCCTGCAGTGGAAAATAAAAACCACTAGTATGGGATAGGAATTATTAGGAAACCTTTTTCCCCAGCCCCAGCACTACTATTTACAATCTGTATGACACTGGACAAGTTGCTCCCTCACTGAGCCTCAGTTTCCCTATCTGTAAAATGGTCTCTGAGTTTCAACCCTGCTCTAAAATTATCAGGAATAATTCCTAGGCACATCAAGCCTCTTTGGAACAGGACTCATTACAAGAAGAAAACTCATAATCGCAACTAATCCATGTCCATCTGTTTGCTACATGTTATCTTCACAACTGTTTCCTTAACCCTGTTTGAATGCATACCCCATGTCTCAAAGGTTTAGGTCTCTGGTGTGGGACTATGCCTCCCCCATCAAACTCTGAGAGAAAGAGCAAAGCCCTCAAGGCTTCCCTGGGAAAGCAAGAGTCAAAGTGGGGTCAGGATAGACACCAGGAAAGAAAACCTTGGAGTCTCTGTCCTAGAAACTAGAGACACCTGCTGAACCACAAACCCTATTTCCCTTCTTCTGACCCTGCCAATTCCTCTGTTGCATAAGACCTCACTCCTCCCTGTGTCTCCCCACTTGCTCCCCAGCGATCTAGTTCCCCAGGTCCCACCTCTCCTGAATCTCTCCAGCCCACTCCTCCCTGCACAGACCCCATTCCTGTCTCAATCTTTCCTGCTTCTGCACTCACCAGCCCCTGGGCCAAGGACAGAGAACAGCAACAGCAGCAATAGGGCTGGCGGCAGCTGAAGCCCAGACCTGAGTCTAGGCTGGGAGAGGGGCAAAGTATGAGAGAGTGGGGGGACTAGTGGGAAAGACTTGGGTAGACACAGAGGTGAGGGCAAAGGCTGAGCTAACAGGATGGGCTGGGTTGGGCACTGGGGCTTAAACAAGGGCAGGGCGTGGGATGGAAGGAGGGGTTGCGATGGGGACCGAAGCAAAGGCCGGGGTTGAGCCAAGGCCTTAAGCAAACACTGGGAATGGGGTTGGGACAGGGGCTGGGCTGAGATTTGTGAGGGCCGAGGCGGGGATGGGGGCCAGGCCAGGG